TACCCTTAGAATTCCTGGGCCTTTCCATCCACCTCGGAGCTTAGCTCTCTTTTATGTGTTGAATCCCCCCAATTAAACTGCAGTTCCCTGAGATCAAGGACTGTCCTGTTTTTTCTGTTTATATCCCCAGCGCCTAGAACAGCAAATGCCAAGTGCTAAATAAAGCCTTTTTTATTCTTTTATTCCTTAAGAGTTTCAGGTTACCTAGACGGAAATTCCTTTCTCTGGCTCTCCTTTCTTCTCATACTTATCCATGTCAGCCCATTCTCTCCCATGTCTCTATCACACTCTACCTTCTCTTCCATTGTGCCTTATGGAACCCACATTCTATGGGCAACAAACTGTCCTTCATATTAGACCTGTCCTTCTCAAGTTCCTTCTACCCCCCTGCAATCATGGGAAATTGGCTTCCCCTCCCCACCCTGCCCCTGGAAGATAATGCATCCTGCGCCATGGATATGCCTTCAAGAAGCCTCTCAACATACTGAACCAGGAGGAAGAGGAGGCATTCTATTTGCTTTTCTTGCTATTTTCAGACTCTTCGCCCTCTACCATCACTCTGGAATCTCTCCTCCTTTGATGTTCATTCCATTTACACATATTACTGTATCTTGGTAGCCACTATCTACTGGCCTTCAGATCATTCTTTATCCTTTCTCAAGAAGTTATGCAATCACCACCCTTATAATTAGAAACTTCAATTTACATGTTGATGCCCCCTCAAATACAATCTTACTTTCACCGTTTACCTCAACACCTGTGATGTACTTTCACTAGGATGCAGTTCAATACAGGAATGATAATGCTCTTAATCTCATCACAACAAACATATTCCATCTTTCATTATATATAATGAAATATATATATATAATATATAAATATATATAATATATATATATATTATATATATATAAACATATAATATCCTATATTCCTCTATCTGATCATAACAATCTATCCTTCCACTATTCCCTGTGTAATCCCCCACCACCCCAAACCTATTCTTCAGTGTCACTGCAATCTCCAGTCATTCCACCCCCTCTAATTTCACAGGCCATCACCCTTGCTCTGGCCTCACTTTTCTACCCACAAAATTTTGACCCTATAGTTAACCAGTTCAAGTTAAAATTTTCCTCTGCTCTTGTCCTACTGCCCCTCATTTCTTTCCAAATCCCAACTCTAGAGTGCTCCTTCCATCCACTAATGGGGGGAATTATATATCTGTGCTGAGTCCACTAAAAATTTGTGTTATATAATCTCAACTTGGCCCTCACTGCTATATACCTGTCCTCTCAGCAGCTATTCCAAACCTTTTCTTCTTGACTCAAGCTCCCCACCAGTCCCTCCTGGCAGAGAATCTCACTAAATAAATATTTCACTAAAAGAAAAATCACCTCCACGTTATTCCCTGTTCTCTACTCTTTTGCTCCAGTGTTAGAGAGATAGCCTTTCTATTTGTAAATGCCAAGCCTTCTACTCCTGATAACATCCCCTCCTGTCTCCTCTCACACATTGCCCCTGTGATTTTTGTCCTCTCTCCTTAACTTTCAATCACTCTTTCAATCTCTCCTTCTCCAGTGCCTTTTTCCTACTACTTGCAAACATGCCTAGCCCTTCCCCATCCTTAGAAAACCTTCATTTGATCCTAATCAATCTCTCAAGCTATCATCATCCTTCCTTTCAGTCAACAAGCACCCCCTATGTACCAGACACGGTACCAAGCACTGAAGACATAAAGAACGTCAAAAGACAGTCCTTACTCCCAAGGAGCTCACAATCTGATGAGGGAAATAATAAACAACTATGTACAAATAAGACATAGGTATATAGATTTAGATCTATATTAAATTAGAGATAATCAAGAGGAAAGGCACCAGTATTATGGGGGATCAGAAAAGGCCTATTACAAAAAGTGGCATCTTAGTTGGGATGTGGAGAGAGCCAGGGAAGTCAGGAGGAAAGAATTCCAGACATGGAGGACAGTCAGTGAAAATATCTTGAGAAAGGGGAGGGAGTGTCTTGTACTGGACACAGCAAGGAGGCCAGTGTCACTGGATCTAAGAGTACATGGGGGTGAGTAACGTATAAGAAGGGTTTTGAACACAAAACAGAGGATTTTATATCTGAGCCTGAAGGTGCGAGGGAACCACTGGAACTTACTGCACAAGAGGGTAACATCAGATCAACATTTTAAGAAAATTTGACATCTGAGTGAAAGATGGACTCACCAAAGGGCTATCATCTAGGTACAGCTGTCTATCACTTGTTGCCTCTACTTTCTCACCTCACTCTCACTTCCCTTGCAATCTGCCTTCTCAAATGAAAGTGCTCTCTCCAAGGTTAGCACTGCACCATGTACTGCCAAATCCAATGGCCTTTTCTCTGTCCTTACCCTTCTTGACCACCTTGCAGCATGTGATACTGCTGACCACTCTATCTTGCTGGACACTATCTGGCCTGAGTTCTGTGATGCTGCTCTCTCATGGTTCTCCTGCTCCCTGTCTGGCCATTCTATCTCAATGTTATAGTAGAATAAATGCTAGATCTGTAGTCAAAGAACCTCCATGCAAATCCCAACTCTGCCAAGTGACAAAACTTCTCTAAATCTCAATTTCCTCATCTGCAAAATGAGGAGGCTGGACTAGATGGCCTCTCAGGTCCCTCGTAGCTCTAATCATCCCCCGGTGGTCCGGTGTAGTCAAGGGCTCTGTCTAACCTTCTTTTTATACTTTTTGTCTCGAGTGATCTCATCAACTCCCAAGGGTTCAACTAGCACTGCTAAGCAGATGACTACCAGATCTACACATCCAGCCCTAGTCTCTCTCCTGTGCAACACCAGGTGAATGTCACCAAATACCTACTAGACATCCCAAAGGCATCATATCTTTCCTCCAAACATTTCCCCCCTTCCTAACCTCTATATTGCCTACTAAGCACACCACCCTCCTTCTTGACATTCATGTTCACAACCTCAGAGTCATTCCCAACTCTTCCTTCTTTCTCTTTGTCACACCTGATCAGTTACCAAATCTTACTGACTCTTCCTCTATGATAGGAAATTATAGAAGGAGGTCTGTGGACTCTAATAGGAAAAAAGGTGCCTCCAAATGAAATATAGTATTTCTGTCACTTATGAATATAGGCACAATAATTATAATTATTCTGAGACAGAGTCCATAAGCTGTACCAGACTGCCAAAGGAATCTATAATAAAAAATAAAAAAGGTTAAGAACCCCTACTCTATAAGGTATCCTGCATCTTCATTCCCATCTCTCCAGTCACACAACCACTACCATAGTGTAGACTCTCCTCACTTTCACCTGGACTACTCTAAGAGCCTAATTGGTCTCCCAACCTTCCAGTCTCTCTCCTCTCCAGTCAATACATCACTCATGCTAAAATAATATTCCTAAAGCACAGGTCGGCCCATGTCTTTCCCCTAATCAATAAATTCAAGAAGCTCAGTCTTGCTTCTAGGATAAAATACAAGGGAAAACATCTTTAACAATTAGAGTTAGCAAGAAGGAACAGAGTACAAAGAGTTACCAAGAAGTGATAATGATATAGAAAAAAAAAGAAAAGAACACCAACAAAGCAACTTAAAAGAAAAACAATTAGAGTTAGGACACAGTCCTCCCCCTCACTAGAAATCTTTAACTGGAGGCCAGATGAACACTTACTGAATATGCTGCAGGGGCCATTCTGGTTTAGGCTGGACTACATGGACCCCTGAGGTCCCTTTAAACTCCTAAGTTTTGATTCTAAGTTAACTCTTAGGGACACAGCCTGGAATGGTGGATAGAACACTAGACTTGGAATAAGAGAGATGGATTCAAATTTAGCCTCTGACACATCTTGACCCCACAAAGTCATTCAACCTCTCCAACTCCCCATTCCTCATTTATAAAACTGGGATAAAATCACCTGTAGTATAGGCCCCAAAAAGAGAATGATTACAAAGCATTTAGTAAACCCTTCAGTGCTACTTCAGAAGGGTCAGTTATGATTAGTTGCCCACTTGGGCCCTCTGTGACTGGTCCACCACATACATTTTTGCCCCTTCCTATCCTGGTGCCTTTGCTCACTTGGCTTCCCTTCACCTGACATGCTATTCTGTTTCCACTCTGCTAAAACAAATATCCTCATTCCTTTAAAGTCCTATTCAAGACAACATCTTTCAAGAAACCTTCCCTGATCAATCTTACTCCATTCTGATGATTTCTTCACTCTGCACTTATGGCAGACAGTTCCCTTCAGCACCATTTGGTAACATACTACAAATTGACACATTAGAGCTGGAATGGGCTCCACATATTATCTAGTTCAACCTAGTCATTTGAGGTATGAGGACAGTGAGGCCCAGATACATAGGTGGCTTTTCAGATCCTAAAGATACCAGTTGCTTTGTAACTTTTCTTTCATTGTTTCAGAAATTTATATACACATTATCTACATAATTCACTCATAAATTCTCTCAAGTAGAGACAACTTTCTCAGTTTCTTCGAAAGCTCCCACAGTATCCAACAAAGTGCTGAGCATGTAACAAGGGCTCAATAAATGAACACATTTGAAGTAAACTCCCTTAAAAGTCAGACTTCCAAAAAATTATTTTTGGTAGTAAAACTTTACACACATGAAGTTACTGTTTCTCAAAAAAAAAACCTCACCAATTAAAAATCAGTCATTGCTTATCTTTCTATTTTCATTCCCTCACCTCCTAAAAGAGCTTCATGCTCTACAAAGCAAGTACCTCAGGGAGACGAGAAGGTTTACTGCACCTGTTGGAAACTGAAGTTATACTCTTCAATGGTAAGAGAATTCTGCTTCTTCTCTTTCCCCTTTGGCTACAGTAAGCAGGCTGATTTTCTTAAGAACACAATTCTAATAGCATCAGGAATTGGCTTTAGACACAGATAATCAAAGACAAGATGTACAGCCATCTGTTTTGGCAGGGATGATTTAGTTGGGATGATTTTTTTAATGGGTTCTCAATTTCACCTGCAATGCAGGTCAGCCCCTCCAAGGTCCTCAGCTGATACCTCTTCACCAGTTGCTGCTTTAACCTACAAAAACAAAGAATTAGTATGAGTATATAGGATTCTATCTTTAGTGAAAGATTTTGTCCATAAATGAGGATCCACAATGTTCCCCCAAGATGACTATGTTCTAAACCAACTACAGCTATTATCCTCCTTCCCACAAGACTGAAGAATCCCACAGTATATACATCAATCCTGAAAAAAGATAAGAGTCTTTGAAAAATGGAAAAGGTTATCAGGTAGAGTCTGTCAATCTTCTCCTTTGAAGAAGTGCCAGCATAAAATAAACACCCAACTAACCAGAGATGTTTAAAGGCAATTCCACCTGGAAGACCACAGTAGGTCTCTCCCAACATGAATCAGGTTCATAAATCCACATAATCAGTTTCAAAAGTTTACACCTGAAAGGGGGTATAACTTAAAAATGTTGTTGTGTGTTTGTTCTTCATTCCCGAAGAGGACCATGACATTAGGGAGATAATGCATGACTTGCAATTGACTTTGATTTGAGTGAGAGAGGGCTGTGCAAGGTCTCCAGCCTCACTTTCTCCTCCAGAGCCATCTGAGTCCAGTGGCCAGATATTCATAAAGATGACTGGAGAAGGCTCAGGATGCAATGGGAGACCCTGGCCCTTTTAAGCCAGGGTTTTTTCAGGTTCTCACTTTGAATGAGGCAAGGCCCATTCAGTGAATAGGCCTCTTTAAGAAGTGAGTCAAGGGATGGCCCCTTTAATAAAAAAAAAAAATCAAACTGGGAAGGAAAGACCCTCAGGGTTGTTGGTCAAAAGAGAAACAGTTACTATTTACATTCACTCTGATCCAGGAGGGCCCAAAAAAATAACCATTCAGTGGCACTTGGGCAGGGACCTATTGTCCAATCCATGAGCTCCAGAGTGAACTGGGTTTAAGGTTTGGTCTTGGTCCTACCACATATCTGTGCAGTTTCTTTACATTTAACATCTTGTCCTTTTAGTGAAAATTAAATATAATGAAGAGGCACCTCAAGCTCTCCAAACTAAAAATGTCCTTTCTAACCGTTGGCTAATTTTTTTTTGACCCAAGACTCACGCTTATACAGGCCTAAAACTATTCATGAATGTGAAATACTTCATTTGACCTAAGATTTACCTAAAAAACAACCTGAAATTAATCTCCAAATGTCCAAAACCATCATCTAATTCCTTTTATTTGGCCAAATTTTTTTCTGCAGAAGGAAACATTTAAATTAAACAAATTTAGTTTAACCACACTAAAGTTCTACACAGAGACATAATGCTGACTGCTTTTCATCTCCTCATTACACTAATTTCCTGCCCCCCAAAAAAATAAAGAAATAAAAAATAAAAAAAAACACCACCCTCCTGTGATTATAATACATTTATATTTTCAAAGAGAACTATTTTGTGCAATACGTAAAGTTTGACAAAATGCCCAAGTTTACACAGAAATCGATGAACTTTGACCAATACAATTCTCCATTCCCTGATGACTGGAACCAGGCAATAAAAAGAAAGGCCGGGTGACAAATGTAAAAGGACTTAATTAGCATCTGAGAAATCCTAATAGGAATGAGACAGAAAAGTCATTCAGTTCTAAATGCCAATTTCATCATTTAAGAACTGGTACTTAGTCCTCCTTTCAGCTGATTACTTTACTTTGTCCTTCTCTTCAAATAGTGGAAGCTTTTATTATAATGTAGCATTAGTCTAAAATACTAGAACAGAAATGACTTTTTAATAATCCCTACGTCAAAAGCTTTTTAAATGAAGCATTAATCCAGTTGGAAGGAGGAAATTATGTACCTCCAGAAATGTGCTCTTAGTCATCTTCCCAAGGAATCTGGAAACAATATTTCTTCTGTTAAACAACATTCAGTCTACACACTAACAAATTTAAACAGTTGTGTGGTTATTTAAAGGTGCAAAAAGGAATAAACACAATCAGATACACTGTAATAGTAGGCTGTTGGGATGGTTTTTTATTTGGAGGGATCTGATTAAGGTGTCTTTTAAAAGACTAAAAGCCAAAAGATTTCATCACTCATTAATATTAATTGAGCATGCTCTAGTGCTAAGTGGTAGAAAGCTAAAACTGAAAACATTTCAAATCAAACAACTCATCCTACTAAATGAAAAAGTTCAGGTTAGTGAGAGATATAACAAAATGTAATGTAATGTACATTAAGTGATAGCTCACTTCCTTATACTATCTTCTTCCCTATTCTTGGCATCCTGCAATGTTCATTTACTAATGACTGTTAAATTGACAAAAATAATTTAATGAAAAGTTCATATGTTAAGTTAGATTTTTTTTAAAAGGTAGCAAAACAAACAGTTGATGATTTCTCTAGAATCTCACACTATCAACTTTTGCAACTTTTCAGTAGTGGTAGGCTATGGAAAGTTATAACAAGTGAACTCTCATACAACTGCTTAGACAGACTGATTTCTTCCTCACAAACCTCAGGAAACTCAAAGTAAACAGACAAGGACCTTGGATGGGACCTTTTGACTGAGTACAAGTTTTACAAAAAGGATTTGTTTTGTGAAGTTTGGATTTAGTCAACGGGCCTCACTTGATGACCTAGAGGGCCACATGTGGCCTCGAGGCCCAAGGTTTCCCACCCCTGGACAAGGGTTTTTCTTAAAAATGTCTTCTAGAGATATAAATTACTCAAGTAGGACTATCTCTCTGGTAGACCTTAAAGAGCTGTTATTCAAAGTAGTTTTCCTCTAGTAAACTGCTAAAGACAAATCCATGAAGTGGGACATCTGATAACTATCACACTGAGGCAACCAACTTCTTTTTTATTAACCTATTAGTAGGATTATTTTAATGTATTAAAATGTTGTCTAGCTTTTACCCTAGATATTGCCTAGTTCTAACCCACACCATTTCCTTTGTAAACAGAAATCAATCAGACATACAAAAAATCATCAAGCTTGTGCTTAAAGACTCACTAGTCTCAATTTTTCCCGCCTTACTGAATGGCTACTCTCAAGTTTTTTGGCCATAATTATGATTTTATCAGGGTAGGGATGCCCCACTATATAAACAAGAACAGCTTCTGAGTTGTTTTTTTCAACTGGCTCTCTCTTTCACTTGCCACCAAGATCTACCCCTGCAAGGTCCTCAGGTAATATGTCACTAATTGCTGTTTTAGCCTAATCTTACTTTCGGTGAGGAAACTTCTCTTCCGAATACAGACTGGCAAATATTCTCAAGTTTATAAACCCCAATAGCTGCTTGGAGTACTGCATAGTCAAATGATTTGCTGAGCATGCCAGAACTTGAACCCAGGTCTTCTCTGACTTCAAGGCTGGCTCTCTAAACAATACTTTTTGCTTCCTCTTACTCCATACAGTAAAAATGGGGCCAAAGGAGAGTCTCTCCTTATGCTGAAAAGGGGCTTTCAAAGGACCTGCTTCACCAGGGGGGGCTGCAAACAAGCCCGGGCAAGCAATCCAAGTCCACCCTGGAGCTGTGGCAGTTGATATGCCCCTTAGAAAGCAAACTTAGAGCAAGGAATAGTGAGTGTTCTTGCAATGATGACTTAAGCCTTTCATTGTACTCCATCCCCACCTTCAAAATACCTTGTCTTTATTTTCTATCTATCTATGTTTATGTGTGTTTGTGGTTTCCCAGAGAAAATGTAAGCTCCTTGAGGGCAGGAATTGTTTCACTTTTGCTTTTGTATCCCCAGGCCCAAGCACAATACTTGACACACAGTAGGTACTCAATAAATGCTTGTTGACTGAAAGCATCACAGCATGCTATATCTGAAAGGAACCTTGCAATCCAACCCCAGTCATTCTAGAGATTAGAAAATCATTAGAATGATTAAGAGGCTTCCACACAAAGTCACCAAGCTAGGTGGGTGGAGTCTTACCATAGAGCTTTCTAGCTCCCCTGTCCTCAGCATCCAATTTTTTATATCCTATCCCTCATTTTAAGAAAAATCACCAAAAATTAAGAAACTTATTTTGTTTCTAAGAATAAGCCCTTTTATGTATACCTTCTTGCCTGAAATACACTGTACAAAGGATCATTACTTATTCATTTTCTGGAAGCAAAACAATTTGGCTGCTACTTTCCTCTCCATCTCTCCTACAGTATACCCAGTGTCACAGGCAAGTACACACTATGGCCCCTTTATCTTCAAGTTCAAGCAACTTCTTGCAAATTGCCACTCTATATCCTTTTATTGGGCAGCTCTTTGGTCTGCCACAACTCAGTCAGTTGGCATAGTATGTTCATCACTTTTCTAGACTTAATGTCATAAAAGGCCTCCAACACTTTACAGAAATAAATGTGAGCATAATGACAAGCAATTTTAACCAACTACATTTCAAATTAAAATAAACCACTACACCGGTAATATTCTGTAATGCTTAATAAACAAAAAGAAGTAAACTAATAGATTAAAAAGATAAATGAGACCGTTGTCAAACTTTGTATTAAGTCTTAAGAATAAATCAACTGTAAAAACAAGAAATGTCTGTCCTGGTGCATTTAGGTTGTTCACAGCATCAGGTAACATGGTCTCAAATACCTTAAGAAAAATTCACAATTATTCCAGGCCTATGTCCAATGAGATGAATTAGGTACCAGATTTCAACCATAACTGAACTTTCCTCATTTTGGACAGTAAGTCTCTTTTCATATAAAAGCCAAGAGTTAATGAACTCCTTTCCTTTAACATTTCACATTTTACAGATGGGGGGATAGAGATAACTGATGAAAATGTAAGCCTCCAAACGTATGTCTGCCACCAACTCTTCTAAAAACCAGGAATCCTATTGTCCTTAAAGAAAATGTTACTAATAAATTTGTTCAAAACAAACATGAAACTTCCAAGTCTTTAATTCAACTCAACAAACACTTACTGGCCCAATAGGTATAGATCATTGTGCTAAGGTGCTGAGGGAAATACTCAAAAGAATTTCCAATCTATCAGACACTATGGTTTTTCCCTCTGGCACAAAAATGTAAAATGCTATAAATCAGTTGGTTACAGACGACTGTTCACTTACCAGGGGGGGTCCTCCCAGGAAAATGGTACCTTGCTTGGCAACAATGATACTTTCATCAGCCATTGCAGGAACATAAGCTCCTCCCGCTGTACAGGATCCCATTACCACTGCTATCTGGAATCAAACACATACAAAATACAAGCTGCAGAATCATAACATATGGGCCTGAAAGGTAAATCAAAAGGCAGAATGGTGTCATCAGGACTGCTGATCTAAAGACCCTAATTCTATCTCCACATTTGTTGCCACAACCAAAGTAAGCTACTGGTCAGTCTCTGTACCTCAATTTTAAAATGGGGGCATTTTCATCACTTACCTAAGAAGGTATGATGGTAGTAAAAAGACTTAAATATGTGGCCTGTCTTAAGGTATGCAAAGCTCACATGGACCAAAACTGGTCACTCTGAAGTGTCATTATTTTAATAGGATAGTTTAAAGGAAAGATAATAATTTACGATAGGTATTAGGGCCTTTTCTCATAAAGAACTAAAATACATTATTTACCTAAAAGGCCTTAGGTTGCATGCTCAATAAAAGGGAAATGGGAGGTTGTGGGGGTGAAAGGGGAGGTCTGAAATGTAGGTTCCCTTGCAACACCACTCTGCAGCAAGTATGGCCCCACAGGCCATAAGAGATGGTCCTAGGCTAGTGCCAAAGGTGTGGTACACTAGTGGGTGTATATGATAATGATAGGCTAGAGGAGAGGAGTATTTAAATTAAACTGTGAATTTGAGGTTCTTTGGGGCAAAATGCTTTGACTAGCTAAAGATGAATATAAAGATTTCAGAGAAATATGTAAAGACTTGAGTGAATTAACGCAGGATAAAGAAAACAGAAAATAGAGCCAAAATAACAATAAACAAAATAAAAGTAAAGTCAACATAGGGAGGCAGCAAACCTTTGGTCAACAATAGTTGCCTGTATTATGTCATCAAAATTAAAAGATACAGCCCTGATTCCTGTCAAAGACAGGTATAACAAACTAGCTGTTTTTTAGGGAATGTATTTTGAAGTGTCTGGTTTGAGTGTTTGGTGGGAAATGTCAATTGTTATTTTTTTAAAGAATGGTTTGGCTAAAGGGTCTATTTTGCTCATGAGGAATTTCCCCCACGCAAATAAATAACCTTCAAAACTATATCTCAAATAGTCTAGTTATCTTAAAAGCAAACCAAAACTAGTAGCAGAGGTTATGGTAGTAATGCAGGCTTACTGCTAAGACTAACAAAATGAGATTTGCAAATGTTTTGCATTCTTTTGAATAAGGCACACTATAAATACAAAATTATTATTATTATATAAAACTTCTTGTTTCATTTAGTATAGCACGAAGAATAGATGAATGGCTGGCTAACTAATAAGCATGAGGTAGAAATTAATAATATGATGAATCACCTAGCCACAGTAGGTAAAATATATCACAGCTATCAAAAAAAAAACCTTAGGAAAGACATTTTTGTTATTATGCACACTATTTTTCTTTAGGGGCATGCAAATATCTGCTAAAGAGAGATTACAAAAGGAAGCCACAATGGTAATACTATTACAAATATGAAAAGTAAAAAAAAGCATTTTAAGTGGGAGAAGTCAACAGGAAGATTTTTCCCCCAGATAAGAAAAGTTATCATAGATGAGAGTAAAGGTACCTCTTCAATTTATTTTAATGTGTATAAAATAAAATTGTGTGTTGAAATGTACCTTGGTACCTGTCAAAACATTTCAGTTAAGGAAAAAAAATAAAGGCCAATAGAATTAAAGTACAAAATTTCATGTTATCAACCTGTTCTCCATACTAGAACACTAGGTTCAGCTCAAAATATTCCACTACCCAAAAGAAGGAAAACTTGGGAAATCTGGAGAACTACCCTAATGATGTAAGAGGTTAAAAGGGAATGATTTATGGGGGTGGGGGGGAAATGAAAAGAAATACACACAGCACAGCTAAGCAACAACTGAAAGAAGGGGAAAAGAGAGAAGAGAAAAAACTGTCAGTAAGTTTTAGTGAGAGAAAAACAAGAGTGGAATAATCTGGCAAAGAAATAAGACTAAAAAGGAAAAAAAAGGAAGCTAAATGCTTTTTCAGGGAAAAACCTGTAAGATCTGCCATATGGTAGAAAAGTGACACAAATGAAAAGTGGAAAAATTGCTAGAATATATATTTCAGGATATATATTAAACCACTTTGCTAAAGCTACATCAAATATCCTGGAAGACACATTTTTTTCTCTAATCCCCATAATCCTAAAGTGCTTATGTCTATGTAGCCAAAGTAATCTCTTCTGCTTTGATACCAGACAAAATAAAAACACCCCATCACTCAGACATAAGCAAAAGAACAGAAATGTCACTCCAGAACTGATGAAAACTAAGCAACTTAATAAAAATATATATCCAAACACCCCCAGAGATGACTGGGAACAAGCTCTGTTTACAAGCGTTTCAAGGAAAAATTCTGAGTATATTTGTAAAGTAGAAACTGTTTACACATTCAAAAGATAAAAACTAAGCCACATATTTACCTGTAAGTCAATCATATATTTACCTAAATCACAAATGGGGTTTTATACTAGCCCAGGAACACGGAAGAGAAAAAAACACTACAATGATTTATTCAATTCAATAAATATTTATTAAGTGTCTATTACAGGCAAAGAACTTTTGTTGCAAATTTCTTCCCCTCCCTGCTCCCCAAAACACTACAAATGAAGCAATAGAACTATGAGAGTCAAAATTCTCTAATGTTTTCATGAGTAAAGCAAGAGGTATCATTCTCAGCCAGTATCCAAGCCCAATTATCTTTTTTTTTTTCAGCCAAAGACAAGGTTTATTAGAACATCCGTCATATTGGGCAGACTCTTAAGGAGTCTGAACATTAGTGAGCTATTGGCTAGATTATAAGAATCTGACCAGTGGCTAGATTATAAGAATCTAAACCATGGCTAGATTATAAGAATCCCAGCCCAAGCCCAATTCTCTTTGCATCAACACACTTCCTAACATGACAACACATTCCACGGAGGGCAAAACTGTAGCCCAAATGAGGGACTATTAAGTGAAATGTTAATTCTTAACATACAGAAATATACATATATAGAGAGTTATATACACATAAACACATATACATATATGCATGTATATATACATGCATATATAATGATTTACATATGATACATTTTATGTGTGTGTATGTAACTATGATAGCATATTACTGAATAGGAACTTCCAAATAAAAGCAGAGATGTCTGTATTAGATAGCATATACACACATATAGATAATATCCATGTTATTTTTGATCTCTTTAAAAATTATTTACTTTGCTAGCAAAAACGCTGTATATGTATGAGTGTATGTGTTTGTGTGAGAGAAAGAAAGGGAGAAAGGGGGGAAATGAGAGGGAGGAAGGAAGAAGGAGGAGTGTTTTTAATTGGCTGTTATATTCCTGAAATTTGTCATGATCTCATTTCATAGACCTCTCACCCTAAGGTAAAAGCCACTTGCAAAGTTAATAAATGAAGCCCCATCTCTATGCAGTTTATGACAAGTCTGCAACGTCACCCATAGGCTGGTCCAGCTTCCTTTTTCAGTTCCCTAACCGTAGTGCCCAAAGAACTCAAAGTGTAAATTCCAGTAAAGGAGGCGAAAGTCAGCCTCCTCACCAATTAAAACATTTGAAAGCCCAAAGTAGAGACTAAGAAGTAGAAAACAGAAAAGAACACCTCAAAAACAGGCTTCCTCTAACACAAAAGCAAAAAGACCAAGCTGCTGGGCATGCTACAGGCCACCTTATGGCTATTAAAAGGAAAGACGAGAAGAAATAAAGATTTCACTCAATTAAACAACTTATTAAGCATCTACTATGTAGCAAGGTACTGAGTTACATACAGCAGATACAAAAATTAAACTGTCCCTGCCATAAAAAAGCTTACTTTTTAATACAACATGTATAAGAAGGAGTAAATACCAAATATGTATAAAATAGTTAACATGTAGTCATTTCAAGAGAGAAAGAACACTTAACACCCAGAGGATCAAGAGTGGGTGGCACCACAGCTCTGAATGAACCAAAGTCAAGCCAACAGTGCATTATGCTACATGAAAGACCACCATGCAAAGACATGAATGTGGGAGATGGAACGGGGGAGAGATTGTGTCTAGAGAACAGCTAATAGTCCAGTTTGACTAGAATGAAGAGTGCGTAAGGACGACAATATTAAAATTCTCTTTTGTTTCAATAGGGCAAGGGGTAAGAGGAAGAGAAAACAGATTTCTGTTAATTTTTTTTTTAATTAAAAAGGTGGTAGAAGGATACTAGAGATATGAAATGTTTCATCCTTTTTCAAATAAGGTCACTATATTCTTAGTTTTGCTTAATTATTGCACTTTGTTACAACAGATCTCACAGAATGGACTAATCTGAAAATGTTTGTAAAAACAAAACACAGCAATAAAATTTTAAAAAAGAAAAGATAAGAAAAGAAATAAGCCTAGAAAGGTGGGCAGGAGCCAAATTGTGGCAGACTTTAAATGAGTGGTTTGTACTTTATCGAAGAAGCAATAGGAAGTCACTAAAGCTTCCTGAATAGGGGACTGTCATGGTCAGATCTGTGTTTCAGTATTATCAATACAGCAGCTGTATAGATGACGATTATGAATGAAGAGATGATCCTGGAAGCAAAGAAACCAATTAGGAGGCTATTACAATAATCCAAATCAGAGGCAATGAGGGCCCAGGATAGAGACCGTGTAAGTAGAAAGTAGGGGACAGATGGGAAAAGTACCATGGAAGTAGAATCAATAAGACTTGGCAAATGATTAATATGGGGACAATGAGGGCAAAAGGAAAACTCCAAGGTTGCAAATCTAAGTAACTAAAAAGATGATGAGACTCTCATCAGAAACAAGGAAGTTTGGAGGAATGACAGGTTTTTCAGGAAACGTAATGAGTTCTATTTTGGATATATTGAGTTTGAGATGTTTAAGGGACCTCCAAGTGGAAATGTCTCACATTCAGTTGTTAGAATGGGACTGGCATTCAGGAGAGAGAATAGGGCTAGAAATTTGGGAGCCATCTGCATAAAGATGATAATTGAACCTGTGGAAGCTGATAAGTTTATCCAGGGAGGAAGTACAGAGAAAGAAGAAAAGATACAAAACAATTTAGAAGTGCCTTGGTAGGCTGGAGGAGAAAGAAGATGATCCAACAATGAAGGTTAAGAGGGGAAACAAGTAAGAGGAGAACCAAAAGAGAGCAGCACAGAAGCCAAGAAGTCTAGGAACAAGAGATGATCAGTGTCAGAAGCTGAAGAGTGGGCAAGTAGAATAAGGACTGAGAAAAAAGCCACTGGATTCAGCAGCTAAGAGGTAGTTAGTAACCTTGAAGAGGGAAGTTTTAGTCAAATAACGGAGTCACCAAGTCACAGTGCAAGGTACTGAGTACCAACTGGGAAATGAGAAAACAGGTAATAAGGATAGACTCTCCTAAGAAAAGCTGTGAAATGGAGAAAAGATATAGAACAAGATTGACAGCTTGACAAAAGTATAAACATACATAAACAAGCCACAGAAGAGTAACTCCCACCTGTATATCTGGTTTATTTGTATGGCATAGCATTAAATAAATCACCTCATTGTAGAAATAATTGGGTGAAATTAGCAAATTTCCTCTGAAATCACAGTTTCCCTCATTAGTCTCAGTATTGCCTCTGCTAAGCAAGGTCATTTTATTCACATGGTGTCTAGTTAGTCTAGAGTGAACCATCACACAGTATTCAGGGATCTTCTCCTCATGCGACGAGAGCAGATGGTATGTACGAGTATTGAAACAAAAAAAAAAATAAGGAAAGATATGGAAGGGCAAGGATTCATCTATATAATTCGTAAGTAGTATCATTCATCACCTACTCCAAAAGGAGTCAGACAATGAAGTTCTGGACCGTAAGAGAAAACAGAATTGGAGATGGGAAGTATTTCCAGATTTTTAACTCCTCCATGAAAACAATGTGATATAAAATAAAATGTATGAAAGTTGTATCGGGAAAAGGCCTTTTAAAAAACATTCTATTATCATCCAGATCCAATTGCTTACAAAATACATGCTTATTTTGTTTGCATTACAAAAACACAGGCTATGTTATAGGGTAGTCTCCAATGGAAAAAGAATCTCAGGCTGGAAATCAAAAGATTTTTTTCTCCAACTCTCCTCAATTTTTCCATTTGAAAAAATCGAGACAAACAGTCATTCAAAAGAATAACAATGAAGGTAAATGGGAGGAAAGGAACTCTGAACACCTGGGGAAAGGTACCATAAAAGATGAGTTACTTAAGATCCAACATCCTACTCAGACAAACTGTAGCTAGGAAGAAAGATTTTCAACTGACCATTCAATAATCCATCACAAAAAAACTGTAAACTACCAAATAAGTATAAATCAATAGCTATTAAGTTTTTATTGATACTACTATACCAGTTGACCAACAGCTACTAGTTCAATACCTTTGATTATCTGTGCTAGAGGGAATTATATCAATTGGATAATTAAATCCTACATGTGATGCTGAGTACACTTTTGACATAGTTTCGAGTTTCTCAATCTTATACTCTAAAATTTCCTATTTTCTTGCAAATATAAAATTAGTCTGATTTCACTGCCATCTCTTCTAGCCTCTGACAAATGTAAAATACTTCTTTAAATGAGCAGCAAAAAATATTTAAAACCAAAAGGAATGTATAACTAGACCCTGGAAAATGACAAGTGAACCAGAAGTATGATATAAAACAGTTTTGAAAAGGATGAAGTTAAAATGGCACAAATATTTCAATCATAATAACCTGATGTGCTCTGTTCTACAAGAGGCTCTAAGAGAGTAAAATGCTGATATCAAACTGCCACTTGTTTCTTTTTTAAAAAGACAAAACACTTGGTATAGGCAAGGAGAAAATCTCATCTTACTACCTGTTTCTGGCTACACTGAAAATGCTTGGTTTAATCTTTTAAGAAAAAATAATACCCTAAGAGTAAAAAAATCTACTTGTAGAGGTCACAGTTAGGCAGCTAGATGGCTAAGGGGATATAAAGCACCGGGCCTAGAGTCAGGAAGACCTGAGTTCAAATCTGGCCTCAGACACTTACTAGCTGTGTGACCTTGAGCAAGTCCACTGGGCAAATTTCTGTTTGCTTTAATGCACTGGAGAAGGAAATGGCAAACTACTCCAGTACCTTTGCCAAGAAAACCCCAGACAGTATGGTCCACAGGGTCACAAAGAGTCAGATATGACTAAATGACTGAACAACAACAAGATGTCACAGTTGACACATAGGTAACTAACTATATTTGGCTAAGCTATAAAATAATTTTAGTTTGGGGCTTTTGTTTATTGGGATATGTAACTAGACATGAATATAATCAGCCATGGACAGTGAAAGGTTAAGAAAATTATGCAGAACAACAGGAAATGGATTTCAGAGCCACTTGTCAAATAACAGAAATAACAGGCTCTGGCTATGAATGGAGTACACCTAACAAGGTATAGGAAATATATATTTTCCTTGAGTTTTGCAAATCTACTAGAGAGCCTTAAAACTAAAAAGTGACAAGAAAGAAGAAAATTGTCTCCCTATGTCCCAACTTTCCTATTGACCACCTATGTGTCCTTGGGCAAGCCACTTAAACTACTGGGCCTCAATTCTGTCATTTATAAATAATGTATCTCAAAATATGTGAACCTATGACCCACCAAGCAAGATTCTATAGATGACAGCAACTACGAGAGGAAAAATAGTAACTGGTAGACAAAATCAAAGAAAGGAGCCAGCAACAAACCCAAGGACTTGGATGTCTACAAAATAACTGGAACAGGAATACAAAACTGTGAAGTGTTTTAGATACTTTCTTCACAACAACCCTGTAACATAGATATTACAACAGTGGTGAACCCACTTTACATATGAAAAAACAGAGGCTCTGCCCCTAGTCACAGAGTTGGTGTGTCTGATGCAGGAATTGAGCCCACAACTGACTTCAAGAAAACCACGCTCCAAACTGAGGCCTAGAAGAATTACTTCCACCATTATAAGGCAAAAGCTCATTTGTGGACAAAAGTTCTCAGTGACATTCTAAAACACCAGTGTTTTAAATTCTATCTTAAACCCTGAGATAGATTAATTCTGTCAGTCAACTAGTTGGACTGTTCAATCAATAAGCATTTGCTATGTGCCAAGCTGTGTACTGGGTACACAAGTTTTGGACACAGTGACTTTAATATGTCTATGAGACATTCAGTATGAGTTATCCAACAGGCAGTTGGAGACGCAAGACTGGAGGTCAAAAAAGAAGCGAGGGCTAGATAAAGAGATCTATGAATCATCGGTGTAGAGAGGATCACTGAATCCATGGGAGCTGAAGAATTCACTAAGAGAAAGAGTACAGAAAAAGAAGATAACACGACCCAGACCAGAGCCTTGGCAAACCCCCACAGCTAGCAGGCTCCACTGAGATGAAGACCCAGAAAAGGGAGACAGAGAAGGAGCACTCAGAGAGGCAGGAGGAGAACCAGGAGAGAGCGGTGTCCTGAAAACCTCCAGAAAAAAAAATGTCAATGAGGAGAAGGTGATCAAGAATGTCAAAGGCTGAAGAGAGGTCAAGGAGCACTGAGAAAAGGTCACTGGACTGGACAAGAGACCACTGGCAACTCTGGAGAGAACAATTCAATTGGAGAGCTCGAAGGGACTCCAGAAGCCATCTAGTTCAACTCCTCTGTTTTACAGATAAGGCCTAAGAAGCCAAGGTCACACAAGGCACAAGCACCAGAGGTGGGGTCTGAACAACTCCTGAGACCCCAGAGTCGGCGCTCTTTCCACTGTACCACATTTTAGATCAATACTTACAAGGGGGAAAATGCTCAGGAGCTTTACATAGCTTACACTGAATTTCTTGACAATAAATAGTTATTGACCTGAGGGCCTAAAAATAAATATGAAATATAATACATAGTCTCCCTAAGTGCAAGTCTCACATTAGCAAAGTCATATGAAGCACAAAATGTTAACTTTTCCAAGAAGCAGTAGATAGAGTTGAAACTCAGAACCTTTAGATTTTTAAATTTTTTAATTGCTCTTCTTCTTTTTACCCTACTTTCAGTTCTAAATATATCCTTTTCCCCTCTTCTCCTGAGGGAGCCATCCCCTTTTAATAAAGAATTTTGAAAAACAAGGATTCAGTGAAACTAACCAACATTAGTATCTGAAAATGTTTCGTGACAGTATCTGACCTGTCCCATAACTACCCACAGTCCTCTCCAATTTGTAACAAAAAAAAAGAGGTCTGGCATTAGATTTTACTTGAGAGAAAAATGCTAGATCACTACTAAGCTCTACTTGTCAAACAGGTTAAAGATGGAGGGAATGGATCCGTATATACTAAAATATTTATAGCAGCACTTTTTGTTAGAGCAAAGAACTGAAATTTACAGGGCTGTACTTGAACTGTGGAACAGCTGAACAAATTGTGGTATATAAGTGTAATGGAACATTACTGAGAAATAAGAAATGCCAAAAAATTAGGAAATCAAAGAAACTTGGAAAGATCTGACAGAAATGATTCAGAACGAATGAGTAAAACCAGGGTAACAATTTACACAATGACCACAATTATGTCAAAGAAAACAAGTCTGAAAGATTTTAGCTGATGATAAAGCATGCCTCCCACAAGAACATCAGAGACATGATGGACAATGAATGCAGAATGAGACATTCATTTTCCAACATGGACAGGATACTGATTTATTTTTTGTTTGGCTGTATTTATTACAGTGGAGAGCTTCTACAGGGTTGGGGAAAGCAGAAAGGAATGATTAGTGAGTAGCAGAGATAAAAAAAAAATCAATAAAATATTTTTAAATGTACAAAAGAAACCAAAAGTTTCAGAAGGGTACACATACAAGACAATTTTGTTATCACCCTGTTAAATTAATACATACTTTTAAAAAACATAATCTATATAACAGTTCACAGTTTTACATACAATTCTTTTGTTCTTTGCATGTTGAGAAGTTTGTTTTATGATCATTAAGTTCATAATAAAAATAAGAAAATTACCTGTGAAATATTTCTAGAAGACATAATTGCTTGATTATAGAATGAGCGACCAAAGTGATCTCGATCTGGAAATACTTCTGCTTGTCGAGGTAAGTTTGCACCTCCCGAATCAACTAAAGATATAAGAGCATTACGACAATATATTACAAAGATTACACATTATGATCAAGTGGGATTTATGCCAGGAATGTAGATATAGTTTAACATATGGAAAACTATTAAAACATAATTGATTATATCAATAATAAAAGTTTTTTAAAATCATTATTATATCAATAGATGCAGAAAAAGCTTTTGATAAAGCACAATACTCATTTCTATTAAAAAACATTTGAAAGTATTGGCATAAATAGATTTTTCCTTAAACTGATAAAAAAAATTTATCTAAAACCATCAGCAAGCACTATTTAATTGGGATAAGCTAGAAGTCTTCCCAATAAGATCAAGTGTGAAACAAGGATGCCACTATCACTGTTTTATTCAAGATTGTATTGGAAATCCCAGCAATAAAAGAAGAAAAAGAAATAGAAGGAATCAGAATAGGGGATGAGGTAATAAAAGTCTTTTTGCAGATGATATGATTATATACTTGGAAAGCACCACTCAACTAAAATTTAGTTGAAACAATTAATAATTTTAGCAAAGTAGCAAGATATAAAGTAAATCTACATAAATCATCAGCATTCCTACATATCACAAACAAACCCCTGTAAGAAGAGATAGTAAGAGGTATCCCATTTAAAATAATTCTAGACAGTATAAAATACTTGGGAGTATACCTGCCAAAACAAACCCAGGAACTATATAAACAAAATTATTTAAAAAAAACTTTTTATACAAATAAAATCAGATTTAAATAATTGGAGAAATATTAATGACAAATAAATAAGAAAAGAAATAAGAGAAGTGTCCCTCCAGCAAGAAAACAGCTAAATATACAGAAAACTGTTTAAGACATTAACATCACTTATCATTGGCACTCAAATCCCTCCATAACCTGAACCTCATCTACCTTCCAGCCAATCTGCAACTACTTATCTTCCCAAATTCTCCTCCTCAGTGCCTGTTTCCACCACTGGATTTTTGCTCATGTCAATTCCACCTAGAATGTCATTTCCTTCCATTACCCATTCATCCTTCACAATCCAGTTCAAATCCCAACCATTACATCATCCTAAACACCCCATCCCAAGTTGATCTCTTCCTCCTCTGAATTGTTAAAGCACTTTTTGTCAGAATGAATCATCTGTCAATTGTTTTATTTTTTTACCTCTTTAACTATGTTATAAATTATTAAATATTTTATTTCACTATACATGCACCCATACATTGTCTCCACCTTCACTGCAAGCTTCAAGAGGGCAAAGTCTGCATCTATAAGTCTCTGTAATCCCCTACAGTACCCAGCATGAAGATGCTTAGTAAACATTGGTTGATTTATTTTGATATTTCAATTTGTAGGGAGAAAAAATGAAAAATGAGAACAGAATAACAAATTCCATTTGTACAAAGGAAAAAATTTCAAATGTTTAATATACATGTAAATATATATTTACCTACGTAAATGAGTAAAGATGAAATAAAAATAACTTTGTTCAACAACATGCTCAAGCAAGGCATAAAACAGGGAAATATGTGCTCACCCACAGTATTACACAGACTCAGATAATTTCAGGATTGGAAAAAATCTGCAGTGGCCATCTAGTCCAACCCATACCCAAAAAAAGAATCCTTATTACAATATAACCAGCAAGTCTTCATCCATTCTTTGTTTCAAGATCTCCAATGACAAAAAATTCATTACTATCAAGACTACCTACTCCACATTTGGATAACCCTAAACAGTACAAAATTTTTCCTGACATCCAGTCTCAATCTGCCTCTTTCCGGCTTCCACTCCCAGCTTCTAATTGTTCCTAGTTCTGCCCTCTAAGGATAAACAGAACAAATCTAATCCCTCTTCCACATTATAATTCTTTAAAAGCATGAAGACGGTTATCATTTCCCCCTGAGTCTTCTCTTCTCCAAGCTAAACAATCCTATTCTATCAACTGATCCTCAGGTGGCATGTACTTGAGGCCTTTCACCATCATATCTGCCTAACTCTGAACCTTCTCCAGTTATCAATGTCCCTCCTAAATTGTGGTGCCCCAAACCAAGTATAATACCAAAGATTTGTCCTAGCCAGAGCACAGTAGTGGAAGTTGTCCAGCAGAGGCCAAATCAGAATAAGATTCCCTACAAGTAATGAGATCCTTCAGATGCTCCTGTTTGTGGATAATATGCAGAACATATTAAGTCCCAGATTACCACAGAGCCTCCTACATGAAACCCATAATCGCTCATGAGTTTAGTCTAATTGTCCACCAAGAAGAAAACAAGAATGCCTATGTCTAAACTAGGACATAGCTGGATGGACAATCAATATAGCTGGTCCATCCCCACCTTTATCTGGGATAGATGCTATGAACAGACTGAACAGCCTTTGGGAAAGTGCAGAGAGCTTTAAATGACCCCAAGTTGCTCCCTGAAACAGAAGCCCATCTTTTCTTAACATCACTATCCTTCCAGTGATGCTGTGTGGTTCTATATCACAGAATATTTCGAGCACTAAAGAAACAGTCACAGGTTACCCAAAGGGTAGCAGAGAGGCACAGAGAAAGGGAATAAAAGTTGTGATAAGAGAGAGGAATGAATGGAGAAAAAAATGGGCCACTCAGAGCAAAAGCAGGAGATAACCAAGAGGCAGAAAGAAGGTTTCATTCACATCCACAAAGTATCAAAAGATCTAAAGGAAGGGCCTGAGTTAATAAGCAGACTGACCCCTTGTGGAGGATTTATGAGAGGGCATCACCTGTCCCACAGACTGTGCTGCACTCTACATCACTGGAGGGAGTTTGCCCATCAATGAGACCACAAATCAATCATCCATTCACTCTTTCATTCAACAAGCATGAAATGCTTGCTATGTGACAAAATATAAAGGATACAAAAACAAAAATGAAACAGGGGAGGGGAGAGATGAGGAGAAAATTTGAACTCAAAATCTTATGGAAGTGAATGTCGAAAACTAAAAATAAATACATAAATTGATTTTTGGGGGGGCAGCTAGGTGGCGCAATGGATAGAGCACCGGCCCTGGAGTCAGGAGGACCTGAGTTCAAATCTGGCCTCAGACACATAACACTCACTAGCTGTGTGACCCTGGGCAAGTCATTTAACCCCATTGCCTAACCCCCCCCCCCC